CGCAGGTTGTATGCCTCCGGAAGCAAATCTTGCACACACGCTTCTGAAAAAAATAAATGAAGAAACTGGAACATAGAATGCATTGCTTATTTTTATAGATGTTTCTTTACCCAATACATTGAAGTACTTTATAATAGTCTGAATCTCGTCTATTGAATCTGGTATGTTGTCGAAGCAGCTTTGATAGGTTTCCTCAAGCACTTTCAGATCCTTAACTTCTACTGGCTCGACACTCAGAGCATCCATGTTGTGGTTTAATTTATTATGAAACTCTTTATAGATAGAACATACCGAAGTTTAGATAACACATCTTTCGAGTATACATGATATATCTCACCAATTATACGCCCGTATGATACACACTTCAAATATTCAATGTACTTCACTTGCCAGTCATTAATATGATTAGTAATGGCATATTTAAGCTTCAAAGCATCTACTTCCACGCATTTGCAAATTGTTGAATCCTGCTGTGTAGTTAGTTGATTAAGAAGTTCCTCAAATTTTTCAATATTCTTCTGGAATGCTTCTGAAGTCATATTTGATAGCTTGAACTTTTCAATGAAAACTTGTCGATTGATGCTCCAAAACGGACGAAACACATTCCACTTCTCTCTGAAGGTATGAAGTTCCTCCAAAGAGTTGGAAATTTCTCCATGGATGTTGGTTTCAACTTGTTGAAATCTACTATCTTGTAGGAATTCGTCGTAAAGATTGAAATCAGAATCAATTTGGAACCGCTGACACATGCTAGGAATGAATTTTATAATAGATGTGACTTCAGTGGGCAAACGTTTTAATGCCGTCTCAATTGATTCCAGTGGAGGTTGGTATGCTATGCCTTGTTTGTTCAACATTAATTCAATGCTCAAGATTGGAGTTGACTCCCTTTGCAAAGTTGTGCGAATGTTATCCAGTGTGTTCAGTGAAGAATTAAACACGGCAGCTTTCAAAAGATGGTCGATTTTTTGGACATACTGTGCCCAGCTGTCTCCCATTCTTCTGAGGTTTGATCCTAGATTCTCATAAATACAGAAAATGTGCTTACTTGTCTCTGAATAGACTCGAACCAACTCCGAAATTGATGCTTTTTTCTGCGTTTTTATGTCATTCGTGAAATCAACTAGTTGCTGGGCATGTTCATGCTTCAGTTTGAACAGAAGCAAATTGTATATACTTTCCATCCAGTGAGCAATCTTGATGTTTTCTTTCTTGTACACTTGAATTACATCCAACAGCTCCTTGACGTTGATGACGAAATTGTCAATAAACTCACTGAGATCTTCCTCCCATGTAAGCTTTCCTCGCAGTGGTTCTAGTTTCCTCTCTGTTTGTTGAATCAAAGGTTTGAAAAACAAGCGCTCTTTGTCAGAGATAGATGACACCACGTTGTTGAAGTATAAAATGATTCGGATCACATTATCGAATGTTAATTTTACGTTATCATTTTTTTCCACATCGATAAAACTCGGTACCGTGGCTCCTGATACTTTAAAATAATAAGATTCTTCAAATATCACAAGCATGCGTCTTTCAATGTGGCATTCTAATAAACCAGGACGCACTTGACTGCGGCAGATGAGATTCCTATGGTACCACGCACCAAGATCAGGGCTTATTGATTTGATCCAGCTGTCGTTATATGTTTTGAGTGCTATCTTCACTTGCTTTTCGCATGATTCAAACAGTGCGAGAATATCATCACTTTCGCTGTATTGAGGCAAAAATCGACAGCGTTCTAATAAATCGTTGAGGCGACAAATTCGTTCGAATTTAATTTTAAGCAATGCATATTGTCCCGACTTTCGGGGAAATAATGTTGGGTAATGGTTTATCCCGGATGAAACAGTTTTTGAAAGTGTGGTAAGATCCTCTTTAAAAGTATGCCAAATTTCCGAAATTTTCCTCATATAGCTTTCTTTGATGTTTTCTCTTTTGTAAAAATTAAGCAGAGTTATGAGCACATTGATTTTCTCCTCCAAATTTTCGGCCACAAGAAAAACGTTTGATAGTAAGTTTTCAACGATGTCGTCAAGATTTTTCAACATTTCACGAAAATTCGCAATATAGTTGTACCATTCTTTGTTGTTGATATCCAGGATCGATCCCGATACTGACTGGATTCTTTCAATGCCTGCTGTGAAGATTTCTTGTACCTGATTGCACTTATCTTCATACATTGCCGCATTGTTGCATGAGAACTGATAATTTTTATAAGAGCTACTACCGCTGTTTCTGCAAAAGAAAAATAATGTTAACCCTGTGCTGTTTTCGAGTTGCTGATTAAGGTCAAATTCTCACTTTCCAAATATTTTCATCGCGTTGCAGATATCCAATGTATCATACAGTCTTTGCATGAAGGAGTCGACTCTATTGAAAATACCAGCATAATCTAATTTCCACGTGAAGTCACGCTTGAAATGTTCGAGCATCTAATAAACCGGACAAGGAAAACATCTGATATTTTTGTCATAATCAAAATTAGTTACTAACTTACCTCCTCGTAGATAATTTTGTACGATTCACAACAGTTAATTTTGATGTTACAAATGTCTATGCCATAATCGGGAGATCCAGAAAGAATCTTATCAATATCGATGCTTTGCATGCAACAGGAAACAATTTCGTTGCTTAAGTATAGGAACAGCTTTGTGATGGACTCATCTTGACGAAGGTGAGATGAGTCTAATCCTATGAAACGGATAATGTTCATAACATATATGAGCTGCGAACAAAGGTCATCCTCATTGTCTAGAGAGCGAATGGCGAAACATGGATCAACCAGCAGCTTCAGGAAAGGAATGTTGGATTCAGCCATTTCAATTTCTTTCATAAGATCGTCCAAAACTTCTCGTAAAGGTTTGGTGTAAAGCGACTGGGACAGGTCCAGAATTTTCAAGATGTGTTGTATGTTGGCACTTCTGAATTGACTCTGAATCGCAGATAGTATTTCGTCTGGAATTAATAGGACTTAGAAAATTGTAGAACTTGGACATTGGTTGACATACGACGGTATAACCAAAAGCTGTACTCATCTGACGGACAGATAAGGTCATTGGGAACGAAATGTTGTGTGTCGTTGATGGTAGATCGAATTTGACTGGTCCAATCGATTACCACCGCTTCTAGGCGCTTGATTAGTGTTCGATTAAGGACAACTTCTTGAACTTCCATATTTGAGCCCTCACGGGGTACATAGAGAAGAGTAAAGCCGGACAACTTGTAATGAATATCGGTTAAATAGGTCATGAATGTATTGTATCCTGCTACTACATGGGCTTTCACGTTTTCCGACCACTCAGTATTAGATAGAATAAGTGGTCCATACACCTGTTCTAGCAGTACCAGTAATGATCCTTCAATATCGTTGTGTAATGTTCCAAACATTAGATCATCGTGGAATCGTTCGATTACATTGAAAAGTTGATCGGGTTCTCGCATGAAGTACATGATGTCATTGAAAGCACACGTCGGAAAGGTAAGCGAAGCAGAAAGCAGGTCCCCATCGTAGAAAATGAATAGCAAAGGGTTATCGACATCGGTCAGCCACAGTTTGATAACTTCCGCCACTTCGTCATTGAAATCGTTTTCGTCGTAGTCAAAAAGATAGATCATATTACGGAAGAATCCTAGGAGCGTTTCAAAATCTTCATCGCTATATGCCGGTTTATCTGCTTCTTCCTCGGCTACTTCCACTACTTCTACTACCTTCTTTCCTGTTTTTTTTTTTCAAAGAGTAAAATATGCTGGATTTGATCTAACGTTAATTTATGGCACACTAACCTTCATCACTAGAATCCGAAAAGCTAGACAACTCGCTGATATTATCCGGCACTGGATCGCGTCCTGCATTATCCGCCATCGTGGAATCGATATGTGTGAACACTTGGTAAGATTGTTTGAAGTGAATTGATTGGAAAAATAACAGTAACCTATCGAAAACCGTTGTCAGGGTTGCTAGGTTGCTAGGGTTTTTGTATAATGTAGTGTGACATTAAATTATTGTTCCGTGATGGATCGAACAATGTTCGTTATGTTGTGCAGTGTTTCGTTCCATATCATTCAAATCTCAGTCGAATGCTCAATAGTTGTACTAGAAGATTTTATCAAAGCTCATTTGCGTACCGTTGATGACATCATTGAGAGCGAGGAAATCAGTATTATTATTTATTTGTTTCAACTTTTCGGGCTTCACAATATTTTGGTTCACGTGTTCGGAGTGTATTTAATCCACAATGCTGTTAGACTTCCCTACGACCCATATTTAGCATTTTTGTTTAAATGTTGGTTGTGCTTTGCTACGGAGACTTGCCTTATTCATGCTGTGAAAGCTGTATTTAGTTTACAATTAATGACCGAGGTTGAGGACTACTCTGTTAATTCGCTTTTGAGTGGTATCGAGCGATACAATTTGGATATGCATTGGAACGTAGTATGGAATAAGATTCAACATTCCCATTCTTGCTGTGGTGTGACCGGATACAAAGATTGGCAAAACATTGTTTGGCGAAGTTCTGTCGAGGAACGTTATTTTGTCAGGTACTTAATTAATACTGCACACAAAATGTTCAACCATGTACAGAATAAATATCCCCTATAGTTTGAAACGGGCAAATAGGACTCTCGTTCCATCCAGCTGCTGCGCGCAATCATTGCTATGCGACATTGTTTTACCGGAGATATTTACTAATACAAGTTTACTGGAATTGTCGCATCACAGAGAAAATATCGTCAATCAAAACGGATGTTTGCATCCGTTAATCTGGAGAACTACTACTATGTTCCAACTGGTAGCAATATTGTGTTCAGTACAGGTTATCATTCAGGTTAGTTCCATGACATATGTTACTAAATAATGTTTTAGAATTTTTTTTACAATGCCTTTACAGTTTGTAATATTTCTTCTGATCAGAATAACATTCGTATGGGATCGTCAGTACATGTAGACGCAAATAAACAGAATACAATAAAGTGCCGCTCTCAAATACAAGCACAGCATTTGTTTAGAGATTACAAATAAATTAGTCGACAGTTTCAGTTCACGTTTGATAAGCTATTGTCTGCTTCTTTATTCTATCACAATCAGTTTGCTAGTTGCTTTCATCAGAATAGGTAGCAATCATGTCGTACGAGTACATCGAAATAGGCGATCCAGATTTTTTGGAAAATCATATCCAAAATGAAGAGCTCGACTATATACTAGTGAGGAAACAATCTTTAGAAAATGTTCCAATAGACCATTGGAAACCACCAGCTTACTGTTTCACCCGAAGGTTAATATGTATTGTTAAATTATCTATAAAGATAATACAATATCTAATTAATACTTAAAACCTACAGGTTTAAAAACTTTGAAAGTGAATTAACCAATTTTGAGGTAAAACACGATGATGTTTGGGTTGCATCTTATCCAAAAAGTGGTACAACGTGGTGCCAAGAAATGGTGTGGCTGATATGCAACGGTCTTAACTACGATGCTGCCAAGACACAACATCTGAGAAAGCGATTTCCATTTTTAGAGTATGTTTTGCAGTAGATGGATAAGTATTGACGAAACAACACATTAATCATTTACTTTTTTAGCATCAGCTTGATACACGATTTACCCGACGGAAGAAGTTCTTTTCAGAAAGTGGAGAGTATGACATCTCCAAGGTTCATTAAAACACATTTACCCGTGTCAATGTTACCGAAGCAATATTGGGACGTTCTTCCGAAAACGGTTTACGTTCACCGAAATGTGAAATCTGTAGCTGTTTCGTATTATCATCACTCCAAAAATTACTTCTACCGTGGAACGAAGGAGCAGTTTGTCAGATCGTTTATGAAAGATTTACAATTTTATTCGCCAATACATAGTCACGTGATTGGCTACCACTCATTAAAAGGTTGTGAAAATATTTTGCATTTGAGATATGAAGATATGAAGTTTGATCTTAAAAAAGTAGCTGAAAAAGTTTGTTCATTTTTTGGACATTATTATAGTAATACACAGTTGGAGGGACTGTGTCAACATTTATCGTTCGGTTCAATGAAAAACAATGTATCTTGCAATTATGAAGACGAAACTGATGCTACATGGATAGATAAAGAGCCAGATGATAGATTTATTCGAAGAGGACAGGTGGACAGTTGGAAAAGTGAATTAACATCCGAATTGAATCGAGATCTTGATGAGTGGACTGAAACATCGGTGAAAGATAAAAAGCATCTAAGTTTATTTTTTGAGTGAAAATTTATATTTCTCACATATATTTTATAAGCTGTTTACGTAAAATAGCTTGTATGAGCCTAAATACAAGATGTGATGTATGTTATAAAAATGTAACAACTGAAGGCAACTGTTTTTAATTACTATTTTATTTTATTATTAATAATAATACTAGAAGAGTGACGAGTTTCTATAGTTAATAAACTTCACTGGGTACTGAAGCTATAGCATATTGCACATTGGTATGAGTCTGCTGCGCTCGTTGATCTTCATTAGCTCAGATTGGTGGTGGACCATTCGGGTAACGAAGCATTGGTTCAAGGCTTCTCGCAAAGTTATTAGTCAGCGAGCATGAGTAATCTTCACCATGGGGCATGAGAGTAGCAACACCTAGTAGAAGCAATAGCATTGCCTGAATAGGAAGGGACGCTCGTAGCACCCGGCCCAAAAATCGATAACTTCTGGTCAATACTGTCGTATTTATGTGATCCTCTTCGCCCTCGCCTTGAGTACTGTAAATAAGATTGTGAAGTTAGTTATATTTCACATGTCAAAGTATCTGATTTATAATGAAGTTGGCGATGAATTTGAATGAAAAAAGTGCTTAGCGAAAAATATTATCTAGATAATTACTTTGCTTCATATGTTGCTACGTGTGAGAACGATCCGCTACCCTCTCGATTCTACATAAAAAAGAAAAGAAGAAAAAATGATTAAAAAACATAATTAAAAATAAGAGGCTTTAATACTACATATTTAAATTATAAATTCAACGTTTATGAAGGAACATAACATTTCAAGTTACTTAATTTTATGACTATTTTATTTTATTACGCTTAAATATAAATAAAACCATTACTGACTAGGTCTCCAATTTTCTGCTTGTTGTTAATGGAAAGCTTTCTATGCTAACACCGTTTTGGCGATTCAAATAATGGATTTTCATTTGAATTATGTTTTACAAATAATGATTATTTTTTTGCCATTCATTCGTTTCGGAACATCGGATACTAACTCTTAACATTCCAAGGCAGAAAACGGTCGCAAGTAGAAGACACCGTAATGAAGTCTAAAACAAACCGCATCCATCAAACGAGAGGCTCGGAAGCTATATGATACACGGACGATTTATCGTATTGGATTCAAGATTCATCTCCTTAAATATTATTATTTTTGACGATTTTCCTTTTATTATCTACAACAACATTCGATTCTACACCGCCGATCAGATCGACTCGAAATTGAGTTGAATACGACTCAATTTTACGTAAAGTTGATATACTCACAAAGTGAGTAAAATTGTTTATACTTTTCCGGGGAAGATCTGCTAGAAAATCGACGCAAATTTTAGTCCGTTTTGGATTATACAGTGATCCTTCCATATATACGGTGAATGGTACCGTCCACGCATTTACGGTATTTCTCGGCTTTCCTTCAACCAATTGAGTTGATTGACACTAATAACATACACAAAATCAGCATAATTGGTTGAAAGACTGCCAAGAAAATCTTTGTTTCAAGTCCTATTGATGACATTATCTACCAGAAACTTCGTTACCAACATAAAATTTGTCACTTCTGCATGAACGTCACTCGATGCTAACGCAAAAAAAACGTGGATTCCGCTAACACTGATGAAAAATCAATCACAAACCGTGTAGTTTGCTTGCACCACAATTGCAGTACCACAAGCGACGTACACACTAGATTAAAGGAGTACAACGCTTAGTTACCTCTATGGTACTACAATCATGTCTGTCAAAGTCACCACTAGGTCATAATCTGGGTGATGCGGAGTGATATTTTTTCAGTGTTGACAGCGTTGAAATAATCGATTCATCGCCATCAGTTTGCAGCAAGCGCTGACAAACTGCAAAAATGCATAAAGCTCGCGTGACTCCCAAAGTGTTCTTTCCCGTTTGTACATTGATTGAAGAGAAGACATTTGAACATTTTTAGAGAAATTATTTTGATGCTTGGCTCACATTTTCTCTAGGTACATGCCTTCATAAATAGAAATCATTCGAGGTGAACTTGAATATTTTGCAATTTATGCACTGCAATACTTGTATTCGTTTCGAGTAAAATATTGGTTCAGCTTGACAGTGGTCTAAAGGTCCATCTCCTCATCACCCAGGTAATAATAAATGTGTCACATTCCGGAGATGGACCAGCCTAAATTTACATATAGGAATAATCCACAATAAAATCAAAAATATTATATTAACAATTTTTTAGCAATGAAAGCGCCTCTGTGGCCAAAAAGGCTACTAATGTATTTTTTATCTTTACGATGGGTAAACCAAATATAAATTTGTGATGATTTACTTGCGCACCCCTAGCGCGCTCTGCAATATTTCCAATGATATTTGTAGTCGTTTAACGATCGTGACGCAGACTATCGAACCGGGTAGCTGAAGGGCTCGAGTAAATAAGAGAATACACCAGACAGGCATTCGGTTCTAAAAAGTCGAGCTAGAAAGTTTAACTTTTAATTCGAAAACCCGTGTATATAATAATATTTTAAATGCAAAGCATATTATGTTATTATATGACAACAGTGACACGTAAGACAAATGTCCATGTAATATACAAAATGTAATTAATAAAAATTAGTTTACTATTATTTTTGAAAAAAATTGCTTAATTTGCGCCCTTCGATTGTTGCTGTCCTTTTTCTACGCTACACACTAATCCAGTTAGTAAGGTTTTACTGAGTTTTTTAATTGCGGAACTGTTCGGTAAAAGTTTAAAGAAAATTTAAAAATGACAAAATTTATTCCGAACTTGTACAGACTTAGTTGTTAGTAGACTTCATTTAATGATTGAAAATATAAAAAAAATCATTTCATTGATTTCTTATAGAATCTTTGAATTTTCACCGACTTTTTCAGTAATTCACCCAGTAGTAGTAACCAGTTAAATAATACTGACTGCTGTAAAATAATCTAAGTGTGTATATGGTACGTTAAGCAATAAGGTCTCCATTGCAATGTGTGGAGAAGTCATGAATGGATCATATTGTTAATATGATATGTTTGATAAAACCCTTGACCGTTTTCTTTCCAGCTGCGTACCAGACTTGAGTTATGATGTGGAGGGCTCTTCTTTGGCATGTCTGTTACTCTAATAGTACGTTCAGACTATAGCTGATATCATGTAATATAGGCTGTCTTGCAATGGCAAATTTTCACCGGAAATCATTTGTATGACTTTTGATATCAAGATAGCCCATATTACATGATATTAGCCATAGTCTGAACGGACTTTAATACTTATTTTTAACATTATTTCCTACGTTGGTTCAAATACAAAATCACACTAAAGGGTGCTGAAGATAAGTACTGTAACACGGAAATAATAACATACCTTTTCTGAGCTGGTTGCTGATGACGAAGCATTCGTGTCGAGCGGTCGGTCGATATCTATTGCTGCTGCAATTTTTATTGTGTACATCTCTACCAACCTTCGTATCGAGTGGAATCGTAGCCTCAGATCGGTCAACCTTTCAATGGAAATTAATCTGATTGTAATACTTGAAGGTAGGTTTATTCAATTCAAAATCTTACTTGGCATATATTTCATCAAACTTTTGCGATTTATGTTCATCCAAATATTTTGTTAACTGTGATGTTGTTTCTTGTAAACTCACTACACGTGGTTCGCATCGCACTAAATCATTCCTGAGTTCCTTGAAAATCTTGTATTTCCTTTCAATTATTTTCTTATCGGTAGTTAAGTCGATAGGCTCTGATGATTTGATCTTGTTCTCTGTTTGCTCTAACCAGATGCATAGCTCAGTGACTGTTCGGTGAAATTCTTTGTTTTCCATCAAAGATCTATGGAGCTGTGCTTGCCAATGTGATGCTTGATTGCACACCTTATCCCATCGTTGGTTATTACTTTGCAGGCGTTCTCTCAATTTGATGGCCTTTTCAGTGTCTAGTGTGTGGGTGGCTAGGTGCTCTCCAACTATATTCAACGACTTTATTATGCTTTTATGACTATCCAAATCCAGCAAAAACTCGCGGTGATCTTGAATGAAATCTTCCAGAGTATCAATATCGTTTGGTGGCTGTGTATGCTGTGACTTTTGAGTTGTTTCAGCCATTGATAGCCACTGTTCGAGCCGCCAAAGATCGTTATCGATTTGTTGCCAATTTCGATTTGTGCATAGAGGGCATGTTAAGTAATCTTCGTTGCTGAAATATTAGCAGAATATTAGCGGATACGTGGAAGAGGAAAAAAAGGCGTGCAATTATAAATTTCGATCGAACAGAATCGTCCATACGAACTTCACTAAATGCACTGACAATTACTGTGATCGAAATAAACATTTCACCCCACTTTGAAATTATGAAAATATTAAAAGCAAAACGTGAAACACTTACTGCATACATATGAAGTTATAAGATATAGGAAACGACCTGAACAAGAAAAGATGGAAAGCGAATGAAAGAGAATTAGCTAAAGCGTGATGATTGTTAATCAGCAGAAGTAAAATGTTTGCAGAGCAGATTGCAATAGTTAGACACTTTTTAGTACAGTATTGGAAAATGTTTGAAAGCTTACCTCATTTCTTCCAATTTTTGCTGTTTTGTGTGCCATTCTGATTGATATAATGTATATTTATCACATTCGTCTTTTACTAAATTACTCATTGCATCTTCATCATCACAGTGGCATTCCGATATTAAAATCATGTTAAGATGCTTGATCAATTCGATGGAGGACTCACAGGCTGACGATGCTCTTGATACTGTTTGTGTAGATTTCATGAAATTACTAGCATTTATTTCTGCAATCGAGGTATTTAGTGCTGCTAGGTTTGATTCTGTTTCCGTAAGAGCTGTTTTCAATTGATACTGGTACGCATCTTTAGCAGTAATGGATAAAGCAGGCAGCGTGTCTACTTGTACAGCGTAATCTCGCTCAGCGTAATCTTTTCCAGCGTCAGTTTTGAAATGTTGTTGAACTTTATGCTTTCCTGATTCTTCGTTAGTTTGATTTACCAAAGCATCCAAAGAGTCCTTTATGCTGTTGGCAAGTTGATGATATTCTAATATCTGTTGTTGTACTTTCAGTGACATCGTACTGTTCACGGGTAATGATCGTACCAGTGAACTGCCAACTTCATCTTGCATGTCAAAAAGATTGATGACAAATCGTAGTTCATTGTGCAATTCACGTAGGTGCTTCAATTTGGTTTCCGGTGTCTCTTCAGTTGTAGTCTCTTGTAGGTGTTTAATGTTGGTGACTTGAACATCAATTTGTGTTAAAGCCACAATGATGTTTTCGTATTCACTATTAAATGTCAAGTAAAGGTTTCTCAGTTCTTCGGTACGTGATCTGATGACTTTGAATTTCCATATGAGCTTTTCCCAAATTAATAGCATTTGCTTTGCTGTCACTGTGATATTGTGCATGTTGGCCCGTTCAATACGATCGTGTTTATTAATTGAAATATACAATCTTCTAAGGATGTGTTGAATCGGCTCTTGTGCAATCATATCAGTATGTTTAGTAGTAAGCTCTTGCAATGTATTGCAAAGGGATACGTCATCCAGCACTTCTCGCTGATCATCGAATTCTTCCAAGTATTTGTTGGTCTGAATAAGCCAATCGTGATGTGACTCGACTATTTGTTGTATTTCTACTAACATGCTCCAGATTGACAACATGTCCTGCTTTCTTCTGCTAGTATTCATGCAGATATTCTTCCATCTCATTTCTAAATGCTTCACTTCATGGTTGATAAGTTTACGGTCAATATGTACATTCCAAGACTCAACGTCTGTGAACAGCATTTCGCACAAATTGAGAATCTCTGCTATGTTTACACTGTTCCCTTCAATCGATCGCTGTAATTTTTCATAATCATCTAGAAGCCTATCCAAACAATTTTTCTCAACGTTCTCAAATATGAATGGTTGTTTCAGTTTACACTCGATTTTTGTCATCCATGCTCTAGCGTCATTTATCCGCTGCTGCAACGATATAGTTGTCGCGTTAACTTCAGATATCTTCTGAGTGCGGTCTTGGCATTGGCGCAAAAGTTTGGCCCAAGTATCATTCAAGTGCTTCAACTTGGATATCACTTCCGTACGTTCTTCACCAGCTGGTAAGTTTTCGGCCAAATCATTTCCAATCACGTTAATCCAGGCTATTTCTGATTCTTTGCAAGATACTTCTTGCAAAAGCATATCTTCCACAGACTTGATGAAAGTTGTGTCCTCTTCGCACATTTGATATTTGTTGGAATCGTTCATTCGTTTTTCGAACTCCATGATCCATTCCATCAGCAAATTATATTGTTTTTGGAACAACTTCCGGTTTTGTATTCTATCTTGCATTTGTTTTACTAGGACTGAAATAGTTTGCTCAAGTTTTTCAAAAAGCTGCCATAGAGCGTATATACGTTTGTTGTTGAGTTTTGCGTCAAATGTGCTAATACAATATTGCAGCTCTTCTTTGGCAACATTTATTTTCAGCAATTCCTCTTTGATACATTCCAATCGTAGCTGTTCATTCTTTAGCATATTTAAATGATGTTGAGATGTCTCTGGATTGTCACAGTTGAAGCTTTCCAAGCATTGCCCCAGCTCGTTTAGGTTAAATTGAATCTGGTTGCACTGAGAGTCAAAGTTGTTGTACAACTCCAGTACACCTGTTAGGAATTTTCTCCATGTTGTAACATTATCTTGTAGCTTCGAGATTTGCTGTGTTATCCTACCGTGATCATTTTTTATAGCTATACTGGTATGATCGTCAACGGGATACGATATTAGTTGCGTCACCTCTTGGTTCATATTGGAGAGATCCGTTTCAAGTTCAGGGAAACGTTTTTGCAATCGGTCTACTTTGGAAATCAATTTTGACAACTCTTTTAAGTTGATGTACTCCAATTGAAGAGTATGTTTCTCAGCCTCAATGCTGGTGACTGCATCTTGCAATGCATTTTTCGCTGAATTGTATTTTTGCCAATGTTGCAATTTTTCTTCAATTTCAAAAATCTTCTCATCGATTTTCTCAATGCAGTTTTTGTGTTGGTGATTTAAGACATTGTAGGTGTCTTCTAGACTGGTTTCGATTTGAGACTTTTTCATAATTGTGATTTTCCACTGTCGAACTAGATACCTCATTAGAGTATATTGATCTCGATATTGTTGTAGCTTCGTTTCTTCACAGGGTACTACTTCGGCTAGGAATATTTCGACCTGTTGTAGATAATTTTGCCAATATTGTAGTAAGCAGGCATCATCGGTTTGCAGTACTATTCGTTGAAGCACATCTTGGTGTTGTTGGAACGTATCTTGCAGTAAAGAATATGACAAAGAATGCAAATTTTTGAAATCCATTTGCGTATTAGTGACGGCACCGGTGCTTGCTTTATCAAGTGCAATTTTCTTCAAACGAGATTCTGTAGCGCTAAGACTTATCAAATACTTCTGAAGATTCACAATTTGATCGCCAAGCTCGGAATCTGGGAGTTGACTTTGAATGCTCTGGAAAATAAAGAAAAAGGAAAAAAAAAATATGTTTATGATTATAATTTATGAAACAAATAATTTTATCAATAATCGATTATACACAGTCTTTTGTGTACTTCTTTATCGAGTATTAGTACAAGACACTGAAGAAGTCTGCACATTGTAGACGAATCCTTCTCTCTCTCTCTCTCTCTTTATACAGGTATTCCGCTAAGACGTCCACATTCATCAGGGTACTTCTTTATATTTACTGAGGTGCATTAATTTGATTAAATTATTTGCAAACTAATAGATCACGCTCCAGTTTTATTAATACCCTAAAATATGACCGTACTGTCACAGACGTACTTATACCCAGTTGTTCTCTATTTTCATTAATCAATCCAATTCATAAAGCTCAAAATGTTCATCCACAATTGTTACTCAATCTGGAAAGGCTGTCTGCCTGCTTACAGTAAAAAAATAACATAAACTGCATTGACAACTCCGATGGAATCAATTAATTCAACACTTTTAACTGTATGCCGTAAGAGTGCATCGTGCATTACTTTGGGATCAAGGCGATCCTTTATGTCACTCTGCTGGTTCTGAGCAGGCATGGAAAATTTGCCTCTAACTTGTTTGAACAACAGAATTCCGTATAATTATATTTGTAACTTTTGTATAGTTTGACATTAGCTACAACTTTTGTGAATAATTCAAATCTGTATCTCTTATGCACGGAGAACCAGAGCGAACAGAACTTACCACTGTTTTTCAGTGAATGTAATTGTAATAATGTAATGTAATAATTGTAATAATATAACAATGTAATAATGTACAACATTTTTATATTTAAGTATTTAATTAATTCTTTTTGGATTAATAAATCAGTCTTGTTCTATCATCAGACTCGGCTTGTGCTACCTATCAGAACAACACAACCAAAATAAATCTTTAGACTTGGCATTGTGCCTCTGATCCGCCAGAGCTATGCTAGCACCCTGGACATGGTCCATTGGCAGAACCAGTGTGTTTATCATAGGGTGTTCTCGAGTGCAAACGGCCATAATGATTTTGATTAGTTTTGCTGAACGTTCTATTTACAAACATTCCACAGGTAGCTTAGCTCACCACCCAATCAGAATGATCGGTGTGCATAAAATGACCCGATTTTGTCAGCCCCCTTTTTGAAAATCTTTACTAATGTTCTATGAAACCCATCAAGTTTTAAGAGGTCTTATTGCATAAAAGTTTGCCTTAATCTTGAAGATCAATGAGAACGATTTGGAATTATGTGAAATTATTGAAAGATAAAAGTCTGATGCACGAAAGACAAAAGTCTAACGACCCCGTTAGTTTCAATAGCTATAACCTCAACTAAACGGCGCACATATTTAGTTTTTTTTTAACTGGTACCCCTGCGGAATCCCATTGGGCACCTCTGTAGGGGTACCAGTTAAACAAGAGAAAATAATTTCTTATCGTAGAGTAATCTCTTACCTGTTGTAGCTGTTCGACTATTTTATTTGAAGTTTGGTACGTTGTTTGTTTTAGCGTTTTCTCCGATTTACGTAAGGTTGCATCGTTCAATTGCGATACAATACCTTCTTCAATATCTTCCAACTTTTTCGCAAACTCCTCAATCTCGGACAACATAGTGTTACCTACATTGAAACCGACTTGTCCATTTATGTCATCAATGAATTGTTTCAGCTTATCCAAGTCTTTCCTCTTCCCGGCTACCAAATCTTGATAGCTTGCCAGTTGTTGCAAATTATCGATATTTTTCAGCGCGTTGAAATCCGAAAACTCACTGGAAACACAATCTCTTACACTTTCACTGATTCCATTGTACAGTTCCCAAAGCTTAACTGCCTTTTCATATCTATGACATAGATCTTGCAAGCTTTCTCGGGTGCTCTGCCATACAACAGAAATTTTCTGGACTGTTTCCTGAATTTCCAACGAAACACTAGCTTCCGACGTTTCAATTAATGGTTGAGCAATATCTTGCAAGTCATCAATTGTATGTTTTCTGTTTTCAATCTCAATGAGCAGGGCCTACAAAAGGAAAATGGTTGGATTATTATGTAAATTAGAAGTTTGTCCTATTTCTTAACTATCAGGATGTACTTGATAGAAAGTGTAGTTCTGATTTTACATTCAAAATAAATAGCAAAGCAGATTGTTTGTTCATCCTGGTAGTTCAGAAAAAAAAAACCTTTGCAACTTACATCAAGCCGTTCAGTAGCTTTCAACAAGCGCTGATAGTCAGCAGTTTCTTGCAGTTGCAACAATTCCATCATGAATTCTGTTTCTTGAGTATGATTTTGGATAATTTCCATCTGGCAATGGAATTTATTCCATAGGGACAGACGATTCCTCAAGAGAGTCATGTTATTCTCACATTTCCGTTCAAGGTCACTATGAATGTTTTGCAGTATGGATAAATCTCTCTCTGTTTGCTGTGGTGACACAGTCACCTTCAAATTCATCGGCAAAGTGTGAAGCATTTGTCTTAGTTTCATCATCTCGTTCCAACAATCACTTAGATCAGATTGACATAATTTACAATCTTCCAGTGATTTTCCAACATCTGGTCTTCTTCCATTGACTTTTGTTGCACATTCATCTAATATCCTAGTGATATCAATGAAACGTTTTTCTTGCTCTTTGATACCATTTTCTATGTTTTCCAAGCGTTTATAGAAAGTTTCAGCAGCTTCATGTTCCTCATCGATTTGGTGAGACAGATTTCGAGAGATATCGAATATTTCAGTGATTTTTTCCACGTCAAATTCTGATGCCAATGCAATCTGCCCTAGCTCATTATCAATCAAATGAATGCGTGTCTTCAACATTTGCATTTTTTCCAAATACAAGTATAGGTCTTCTGGGGATTTGAGAACTCCTTTTATGCTGTTGAAAATTATGTTGATATCATACAGCTCTTGCTCAATGAACGTTATTTTATCATTGGGGGACGTAGAATTAGTTTTGATGGATTCGTAAACTTGCTTCTGAATGTTAGATATCTTTGTAGAGACAGCAAGCCAGTTTTCTAACATTTTCCCATGCAGTTGACGATGCAGCTCTTCATCAGATATGTTGATGGTGGCTAAAGCATGATCCAGCGAATCACAAGCTTTTCCGTATACTTTATTGTTCATGACTTCGTATTGAGCTTTGACTTCCCAAAATTTGCGCATATCCTCAACTGGAGTTTCAGCAAGATTTTCCGGAATGGTGATTGAGCCCAAATTTTTATAGGCTTCACAAATCCATTCGTGCAGCTTATCGGCACAGATATTATATCTATTCCAGTGGTTTTTGAATTTTCGCAGTTTGTTGAGATAAAGTGATACCTCTTCTTTCAATTGCATAACCACTGTCAAAGCTTCACTACTGTCCTTTTCCAATACTGGAGCACATATGAGTTCTTGCATTTTCTTAGCAATTTCGTTGTGTTGCATCATTTTCGTATGATGGCAGAAAATATCTTGGTTCAACGACTCATATAATTTAATATATTGTTCAAAATCTTCGGATGACACATTTCGTAGATCCGGAATGCGTTGTTGAGCAACTTGTAGCCATTGAGCCTCATCACGCATGTCTTTCTCAAGGACTGTCCATTTGGAAGCTGCTTGCGCTAATCGGGCGGCTCTGTCTACTGCTCGCTCCAAAATGTTGCTTGTTTTGTTGTACAATGCTGAATGTAGCTTGGCATGCTTCATACGAGTTATTGGATCCAAGTTAGATTCCAGCGATTCTAGAATCATCTTGCAATGGCTGAGGTTGACGAAGAATTTACGATACCGTTGCATTTCCTCTTGAAGCTCTTGCAAGCTGTTGGTAGAAATTTCGTTATCTATGAAATCTGCAGCGGCAGATGCGATGTCTTCGAACTCCAGAAGTGTTTGTTCGTATTCTTCAGCTAATCCATTTAGTTGATGTAGTTTATTTCTTTCTATGATGACCGTCTGTTGCATTTTCCGTGCAATCTGATCAGCCCTTAGTAGATCATCTTCCAAATACATTTCATTGGCGTTATCCTTGAGATTGCTAACTTGTTCAAATATCAATGATATATTTCTCAAGCACTCTACAATGCGATCTTCAACATTATCTAGACTAGCCAGCTTGTCGTGTACGGAAAGTGAAAGGTCGGGGATAATGGAATTGAGTTTTTCGTCGATTTCTTGTAATTGGCTATTGATCTGTAAAAGCGTGCCTGAAAACTGGTGTCTTATGTTATCATTGATGCGTGTTTCTTCTTCTTTTGATGCGATGGTTGTCTCCAACTCCTCGATGCTGTTTCTTGTTTGTTCTAAACACGCAGTAATATCTTGCTTGGGAGTAATATTATTTTCTATCGCGTAATTGACAAAGCGTGGGATTGTGTCTGACATGTATTGCAACCTTATTTTATACACATTACATAGCCCAACACGATCTGTTTCGTTAAGCTGTGGTAGGTGGTGTAATCCTACAGCAATATCTTCCACTTGTTTGCTTGTTGTTTCGAGCACGTCGAAAAGAATTTGCTGCTGCAACTCTGTATTATGACGATTTCCTTCTAAAAGAGAAATTGAGCTATCGAGGTCAAGTGGAAAATCATCGGTGATTAAGGATTTGTAAGAAAATCCAGGACCTTGAACGGATTCGCTGGTTGTTGTTATAGAATATATTTTCGGAAGCATAACAGCCATCTCATTCCACGGTACTACCTTATTCTCAGCAAAACTTTTGTGAGCTCTGATTATTGAGAAGTAGTCGGTTAAGCTGATACTCCACGATTTATCTCCAGGAATTTCCGTTTTGATGGCACTATATGTTGTCGTTTGCTTTGGATGCTCAAGTTCTAGTTGAATTTGAACATTAAGAGAATTATGTCCGTCGATGCTTCTTTCTTCCATGACCGTCCTTGTTAATGTAATTGGTTCAATCACACCAGCACTATCCGGAATATGCAGTTCTGTTTGCACTTCCAACTCAATGGGAATAGTTTTGGTTTTCTTTCCTTTCTTTGATTTCTTCTTCTTTTCCCTTTGATCTGGTGCGGATGATTGTTCAATGGCAACCGTTTGCGTACTTTCTACAACTGTTTCCGCTTTATCTACCGCAGGTATTGTTTGAGCATGCGCTTCTGTTGTCTCAACTTGACTTGTTTGTGTATTAGCACTGTGAACTTCTGGAGCAGATTGTTGATCGGGCTTTGGTTGACTTTCCTGTGTGACGGTACATTCAAGTGAAACATTAGATATGTGAATAGGGCTAGTTTGTGTTTCGACTTCTGTTGGAGCATATTGTACAACTGGGGATGATCCTCTGTCTTCATTATTTCCTTCAGTTGCAGTTTGCGCGTCTGTTACATCGGTTGCAAGAGTTTGAACGGCTTCACTGTGAGTATCGGGTGAAGCTAGTGAGACAGTGATATTCGATTGAGCAAACTCAACTGGACTTGTTTGAGTCTGTTCTTGTCTCAGTTTCAAATCAATTCCTTCTCCTATTGCCTTGTCGATGATTTTGACAACTATCGGTTCAACTAATTGTTTTACATCATCAACTGTTTGCATCTCGGATTCAGCTGTGGTTACAACTACTGTTTGATTTGCAGAATCGGAAACATCCACCTTAGGTTGACTTTCTTCCGTTGCTTGTGTTTCGAACGAATCTGTTTGAATATCCTTTTCTTCGTGATGTTTGCTTACGATATCTACCGTTTGTGTTTCATTTTCTAATAAATCAACAGTAGTCTGAACTTCTTTGAACTCGTAAACTACAGACTGCGTTACGATGGGTGAAGTTTGCTGAGATTTTTTAACTACCTCTTGTTCAGGAGATGTTTGCATCGATTTTTGTTCAAAGTTTAGTGGAACCAGCAGAATGTCCGAGGTGATTCGTGCTATTTCACGGTCAGCTTCGTCTTCAAGGAAATCTTCTTTAACAGGCGTTGTTTGTTGGTGAGCATCTTCAACATATACAGCTTCCAGAATTTCTGTTGGAACGACAATCTGCTGTTGTATTGATAACGTTAACTGCTCATCTGGACCTAATACACTTTCTTCAATCACATGAATCGGGTTAGTTTCAAAGTCCTGATCCTCTTCTATGCTTTCACATGTTTCTAATATTGGAATATCCTGTTGAAGTTCTACAGCAGCCAATCCTTCGGTGGATTTAGCTACCCGTGGATCTGAGTTCTGTTGTTTTGACTTCTTCTTCTTCCGCTTCTTCTTTTTGGAAAGGTCATCATTTTCCGATTCTCCTTCAATAGTAGTTTTATCCGCTTCGTAACCTTTATCAAAATCTACATCACTAAGACCTGGAACTTTCTCGGCTAGGAAAAACTCTTCAGATACTGGAAGGATGTCTATTTCTATCTGTTGAGCTTCTTTGATAGCATCATCTCCTTTCGGTTTTGATTCAAGCTCAACAAAACTTACTTTAATGTTTTTAGCAGCATCAGCAGGGTCGAGATTCATACTCAGTTTGACAGCTCCCTGGTCTTCTTTTGTAGACAAAATCTGTACTTCAAGTTTCTTCTCAGTGGCCGCTTCATCGGGCTTTATCAATAAAGGCTCAGGTTCAATATCCTTTCTTCGGTCCTCTGCTGTGGAATCTGGGACAACATCTTGTTTTTGTAGGTAGGCGCTTAGTTGGTCATCAAACCGATCTTCCCGGGGTTGATCATTATCACTTTTTGGAGGTTCTGGAGGGATTTGTTCTGATAATATGGTAACTTCAATAGGAATATCTGAAGCCATTGTGGCATCGCTAGTTTTAACAAGACTATTTTCGTCTTTTTTACTTGAATTCACGTTTGTTTCAATAGGCAACACAGTTCCAGGTTGTGGAATGTCGCGGTAGGTAATATCGCCCTTGTTGACATCTGTTGATTCTTCGACCATTTGTTCTCTTTCAGATAAAGGATATTCTACTGAATGAACATCTTCAATTATTGGTTTTATGGCGTATTCCGATCCGGTGTTCATATTGGTTGGCCATATTTCTTCTGGGTTTTCATATGTTTCTTGTAGAGGAGCTGCTACCTTAGATGGCAATGCATGGGTTCTAGTTAAGGGTACTTTACCTGTATCTTCTAATGGAGGCCACACATCAGTTATTCCTATTACAGTATCATCGGTCAATGCTGCTGTAGAGGAACATTGAGGTTCTATAAGATTAGTTTTAGACTCTTTGATAAGCGGCGTGCTTTGTATAGTACTAGTTGGTGAATCAACTTCAGAAGCAATCAAATCTACATTTTGTGCAACCGATTCTAATACCTGAGCATCTTGAGTTTGTCTTCCCAAAGGTTCTACATCATGTTGTTCCATGACACTGACTAGTTCATTCTGGATATCATCCAATATACTTTCAACTACCTTTTGAGGTTCCATTGTCTTGTCCATGAAGGTTAAATCATCTCTTGTTTCAGTATCTGTCAAAATGTGTGCTTGTGCATCTGGTGCAAGTGTTGCAGTAATCAATGCTTCAGTCATATCGGATGGTTCAATGGATTGGACCGGCTGAACAACTTTTTTTAGAGTGATTTTCTTCGATCCATCTTTACCAACTATAATTTCCATGGAACTGTCGTCTGGTTCTACGAAAGTTGTTTCAAATGTAGAAGTAGGTATATTTCTCAGCAATAGCTCCGATGATTTGTTAGATTCACCAGATTTGGATTGCGTATATTTAGCTTCCACTATTATATCTTCTTCTTCTTCTTCTGGAATAATGGAAGGAGCATTACGAGCATTTGATATATGAACAGTTTCGTGGCCTTCTGATATGGACTGGATAATGATCAAGTTGTCTGTGGACCTTTCAATGTGAGTTTGTGATGACGCTTCTTGAAGTTGCGTTGTAACGCTGTCCATAGGATCCATTGAAACTAGTGGACTAGTTTGCATTTCACTGTCTACCTTTAACATAGCGACAGGTTCTGTTAGTTGCTTGATGCGCTGTATGTTATCTTCAAGAATTAAAGCTTTTTCACGAATTGTTCTGATGAGAATTGCGAACTGTTCTCTCAGAGCATTTGATTTATCACATATGTCTGCGTACATAAGGTAATTTTCTGTTGACTCGTAAATGGTCTTCGACTGATGCTCCTTTTCGCGCAGTTCAGCCAATAGCTTCTGATTTTGTTGCAGAACTTCTTCGAGGCTATTTTTCGATGCACTTTCGTCAATATCAGTAAGTTGAATTGACGTCGTAGACACCCAATGGTCAATTTCTTCTAACAGGTTGGAATAGGAACGTATTTCTGATTTGCGTTGCTCTCTTAGTTTAAGTGATTGCTGAAAAAGTAAGCGATATTGATAATTAGTTTCTATTGGTTATTTTCAATGCTTTAAGACTATGATGAAGATTTAATTAAATCGTGTACAAACTGATAACTTCATCGAAATATTTTTAGTTTTTGATTTAAATTTAACTAATTTTGATGGTAACGTAATAGATGTGTAAATGTTGCATAATTAAAAGTAAAAAAACAGTAATTTTCGGTTACCTGTATCTTTTCTAATCCATGATGTGCTCGTTGACGTAGAAAATCTATTCGATCATCAATCATCCGAACAGATTCTCTAACCTTTTCGTCAGCATTCGGTGGGAGGCTCATTGATATAGCATAGTTTTGCTGCTTGTAATCAGCCAGCTTTTCGATTAGCACCTGTAAGATAAACATTTTATATTTCACCCATTTCTCCATAGTCCTCTTTAAAACTAACCTGTAGTCCCTTGATTAAATCGTTTATGTTATCATACGGGAGATTATTCATCTTTAATTCCTCACCGAGCAGCGATTCCAAAATATTTTCCACACTTTCGGTAAGTGTCTGTTTGGTGTTGGAAGATAAAATATCGATAAGTACATTTGCCGCTAAATAAACGATATTTAACAAAACATGCATGACAAAAAATTGCTAATAAAAGTTGATCAATTATGCCGAGAACGCAAAAATTAGAATATTTCACACTTTTGACGTGTTCATACAAACATCACAATTATACATTATGAGATTTGCTTTCTCTACTCAAGAACGTCTAATAAACTATAAAACTCATAAAAGGGTACCAATTTAAATGAATCATGATTTTTTTTAAAATATATGTGATGAAGTTGTTGGTCTTCAATAGTTGATAAATAAGTAAATTGGTATTAAAGTATGAGTGTTAAAAGTGTCAAATATTCATTAACATGGAATAATGGGTTATTTTAAGGTGTATTTAATATACGTTCATTGGTTAGTTATTTCACAACGCAAACAACAAAAAGTTTCTGTTTGCCTCTGTTCCTAGAATCCACTGATGTAACTGTATTCATGATGAGGTCCTCAGCACTCAATGTTATCGCCTCTGATCTTGTTCTTGAATTCTGCGGCATTCAAGTCTGAATGAGGTCAACATGACATGCTTATGATTTGACGTTTCAAATGATGCATTTTGACCCAAGCCAGGTTCTGCCCTTGTCTCTGGAAACACCCGGATTCTGTCCTGGTGTGTCCAATGGTCTTGGATATTCAGTTCGACTAATGGTACATTTTAGGAAAATCATTATGAGCTTTGATTGTAACTTTCTACTAATTGAAAGAAGACTTAATAAATCGATTCAAAATCCAGTTGAAAAATTTGGTCTATCTTCTTTTATTGAATAAGCTTTTTCAAAAAACGTACATCATCGTTCAATTGATTTAGCAGAATTAGCAGTTAATACTCGTAATATAATTTTATAACCTCAACATCGATGTTTGCAGTTGAACACATTTTCTTTGTACTTATTCGATAGCTCTTATTATGAGCATAGAACAATCGTTCTACATTATTTTGAAACGATGGACCCCCTATAACTAGGGGCTCGAATAGTTTAAGAAAAGATATTTTTTGCAAATTATTTGATAAAATTAGTAAATCTCTATAAACTAATGAAAAAAGCCCAAATGTTTGCATTCCATTCGAAAGGCAAACGTCAGCGCTTTTTTTCCTTTGATTTGTTTTCCGGCGATCTGTTTTCCGTACTGAACATCAATGCTACTGACGCCAGGGGCTCTATCGACCCATCAACTCATGGACCGGGGACCAACGGTTTTACTTCCTTTCCAAAGGAAGGCGTGATCAAAGATTTTATGCCTCCGAAAATCCCGATGGTGCCGACTAGGATTGAAACCAGGTCCTTTGGGATGAAAAGCAGCCACTCTAACCATTATACCACTGGCGCCACTAACGCCAGCGCTTTCATTTAGCATATTAAGAATTTTTGGCGGTCATATTGAATTTAGTTACCATCTAGGATTTTTTTTCCCAACAATTTGTAAACTAAGCATACCATTTGAAAGTTAAGACTTTTCCCTATAAGATACATGTCAAATATAATGAAGCATTCAACTTTTTGTATGGAAACAAAAGCAAAGAAAACGCTTTCAAAAGCTAATTTCTTTGAAAAAAAAAACCACCCAAACATGCAAAATAAAAGGCCAGACGCTTCCCTTTCGAATGGAATGCAAACATTAGGAGTTAATGCAAGAGTTTTTAGAAATAAATTGAATTAAATCTTCCAAAATTTTAGTAGCTCGAAAAATTGGTGGGTCAGTTTCAGTGAGAATTGCTCAGTTTCATTGTTAATTAATTAATTAATTTAGCTTTATTTAGGAGGCTTTCAGCCTTAGGCTGGTTCGCCTCCAACAGTTTCATTGTTTATGCTTTCTACTAGGTGAACAAACGTAAAGGCAATTAAAACAATGCTGAACAGCTGCAGGTAGAGTAGGTTTGTCAAAATCTTCCACGATTGGAACGTTATATTAGGTCTTTTATACTACAAAATCAGATACAAAATGTACAGTTGCTTTGCATTGCCTAAGATTTTTATTATTTGTCTTGTCGTAGCAACTTCTAGGGCCTAGATTGAAGCTTTTTGCCATAATACTGCTGCCAGACAGTGAAAACTGAATTGTATATGTAATACAAAGAGCATGTTTGAGGAAATTGTTGATTTTCGATTTAGGTATACGTGTTTAGCCTGAAGGTTTTAGAGGAAATGATTTATTTGAAACAAAAACACACAGTTCCGTTACAAAAGTTACGGTTCTGATAATGAATTTCTAGAACATAACAATAAATCTTTAAAATAAATGCAATACAATATTATGAAAGAAACTTCCCAGGCTACTGGTCAACAAACTGAAGACAAACAATGCTGGAAGGGGAGTGGTCGAGGCCGGTCGAAGATATCACAGATTGACATCCCTAGGCATACGGTATCATTGTGCTTTCCAATTACATACGAATGTATAATTGGCTTAGGCCTCAATTAGCGACTGTAGCAGTGCTCAATGAACATTAAATTGAAAAAATGGACAATTTAATGAAATGTACCTATACTTGCATTACATATTTATCAGAACCCCTAATTTAACATTGTATTTATATTTAAGTTTTATCAGCTACGTAAAACATATAACCAATTTTTTCACTTATTCATAAAATATTTGCCTGAAGTGAGACAAGGAAAATGACGTGTTTTTGTTTTGTTGCGTCGTTTCCGTTCTTTCTTCTCAGCTAAGTTTATGTGGTGTTGAGTACTTGGCACTGATGAAGTCTGCAAGTAGTAGACAAAATACGCGTATCTGTCAAAAGATAAGCAATTTTAAGGAAGTAAACCCATCCACTCAAAGCTCTTCATAAAGGGATTCCGTTAAGAGGTTCGACAAATTTAAAGGTAGAGATGAACTAGCCTAAGGCAAAAAATCTCTTTAATAAATAATTAAAAAAAAAAAAAATACAAATTTAAAGGATTAAGTCAATTTGTCTTTTCGTTCCTTGAGATTGAGACGATCATTTAGAAACTTACTAAATACGCGTCAATCAAGTATTTCCCTGCTGCTACTGCAACAGCAGTACTTTAGCACTTTATCAATGGTGTATATTAGCATCGATAACGTATTGATAATGTAATGTATCGTGTGTGAAAATAGCTTCGAAATGCTTTCGTTCTTGAAATGGGCTATTGGAGCAACGATAGTGCTGGCTATCTCCCGGGTTCAAGCTTCTTGCATTCATAAGAACTGAATATTTGCCTGGAGTGAGACAGTATTTCAAACATGTTTGTACTCTATGTTTGTCGTGTAAATTAATTAATTTATCTTTATTAGGGAGGCTTTCAGCCTGGGGCTGGTTCGCCTCCATTTTGTCGTGTAAAGTGCATTGATGTTCATGTAGTTGTTTGGCATAAACTAGAAAATTAGTTAAATACTTGTTGACGTATTTTAATTTTTTGTTTTGTGTGAATAATGAGTAGACAAATGAAAGATAGCTTTATACTTGGTTAATTACAAATAGATTATAGCATGCATTGCAATGTTGTTATCTTATGTAATTGATAAACTTCAGATAATTAGATGTACTTTTCTTGACTAAGCACTTATATTAATAATCTGAAATTTATCGTTTTTAAATATGATTAGCGTTATGGTTAGATGATAACATTGAATGAGATAACAAACATCAAATCTAACGTCACCTGTTTACTTATTGTGCAATCAGCCACATTTTCTTTAGAACTACTTAGATTTACGTTGCACGTTGAACCTAGCGTATTTTGGTTGATCGGAAGTGTGGGAGAAATTGAAGGATCGGAGCTTTTGATGGTAACGTGAAGGTTTTGTTGCAAAGGCGGATGGGGCACATTTATTAGTGTTTCGTTAGTTGCCTGCGCTAGCTGAATTGATTCTGCGTCGTCTACTGCGACTGTATGTAGTTGTAGGTTAGTTGTGGGATTTGCGAGCGTGGGACTGTCTTCTTCAGGTTTTTCGTGACTTTGAACAGCTTGCAACGACTTTAGGTATTCTATTTCAGCATCATCATGGGTATGTTTATCTTCCCAAATAGGTTTTCCAAGTTGTTGGGACTCAAGTGTTAATTCAGGATCTGAAAATGGTTCATCCTCTTCTGCACGGGACAAATCTTCTGGTCTGTCATTAATAAGTGTATCGTCCAACAAATTGTCCTGAGTCATTGAAAGCTTAACATGAGTGCGAGTGCCTTCTTCGGTCGGCTTTGAAGAATAATCGGTAAATTCTTCCCCTTTGAGAGCCGATAGATTTGCAGTTGAAGAGCTTGGAGTCAATTGTTCCAACTTTTTAACTTTATCACCCTGTATCGATATTGATGTTATTGTTGTTGTTTCAGTATTGATTTCAGGCTCTTGCACATCGATTACTGACGATGTGTATGTTATTTCGGTTACTACCGTGTAATTTTCAACCGAGCATGTTTCAATACTAAAATGACTTGTAACGTTTTCATTACTTGCAGCTGATATCTGTAGCAATTCTTGGGGTTGACATGCTGGCTGCTCATGATGTGGTTCATTGTTTGTTTCTGTTATTGATTTAGAGCCTACGATGACTATTCCTTGAGATGATGTCTCTATTTCTTCTGGTTTAGTTGTAGTACTTTCGATTTGTATAGGTAATATCTGTAGGTCATTGTTATCAGTCTGCAAATTTTTGACATCATTTACAGTTTGATTTGATTCTGTAATTTGAATGCCTTGATTTACTTTTTCATTCAGATCTATGTTTAGCGGTACTTTAATACTGCTTTCCGTGATTTCACGAACATTAGTATGTGTCCGTTGAGGTTCCATAGGATCTATTTGGGGAGAGGCATTTCCTCTAAGCATGTATTCACTTTCTTCTATAAGATTATGCTCATCACGTTTTTGACCTAAATTTCCTGCTACTACTTCGGAATATAATGGTCCTGATTTCCATACATCAATTGAGCTACTGTGTGCCACAATATTTGAAACATTCTTTGCAACTTCTGGTGAATTTATTGC